CTTCTGTTAACTCATTCACCCCTGAAGATACATTTGAACTCTTCCAATTCTAAGCCTGGAATAGTTCATCATGAAATTTCAGGGGTGAATGAGTCAACAACACTGTGCTATCCCAAGAAGCATACACAAGTTGGCAATGGTATACAAGATAAACCCAGACAGAGTGAAAATCTGACGGATTTGCCTGACAAACAGCAACCAAACTACAACCACAAATTATGGTAGCAAGTTTTCAGATAAAACAGGAAGTTAAATCATTTGTCGATGACGAGACCATCTCCATTTCTATCCTTGTATAAACTGCTGTGGGTCATCTGATCTGTATCATCTTGCATCAATGAATGTCGGTTACATTATAATCAACGAAGCCTTTGAAATTTTAATATTGATCTGACGTGATAACCGGCTTTACAGGTAACGCTGCCCTGTGGACTTCTCGTATAGATTAATTTATATAGACCAATATCCCTTCAGACCTTTTGCTTTGAACTTATATAGATCATTCTAATTAACAATACACTTATACCAAACCCCAATAACATTATAGTGTGTTACAGATACAATGACGACTACACAATGACACACCGACATATCCTGCCGACTTATTTATTTATCTTTTTTTTCGGCCATAGAAACATTTACAATGGATGAAGTAGTAACTTTGTTTGCATATAAAGTGTATTAGCTTTCCAAGGTTGCGACATTGATGTAGTTTTACACGGGAATCGATAATGAATACAAATACATACTACTTGACTTCAATGTAAATGTGGGGGTTTACCCAGCTACATAATGAGCTTAGGTAAATTGGGAAAACTGGAAAGTAATAAAAAGGAAGATATAATCTTTATTGGGATTTTTTTAACAGTATAATTGTTAACTGCAGTGCTGGTTCTTGAGATTAACATCCATGTATTCTAAAGATAAAAACGTTGGGTTGTTTTGCAGATTGGAATAAGTCTGTACTTTGCTAACATCCTGAGTTTTGTAAACATTTTGTTGAGTAAAGATTGAATAAAACACGAACATTTCTTACAGCAATTTTAACATCTTTATTTATTAGTACGATCCAAACTTTTGTCAAATATTTCCAATATTTTATCTAAAATCTTTTTACTAATTAAACATAAAAGTGAGTTAAGTCGTATAAAGTGTGTTCCCGACTACCCCAAACTAACTAAGTCTTTCTCCTTACATATTACATAACTGCAATTCTGAAACAGGTGGGCTTTCCAGATTTTAAAAAGATTTATAAATAGACACTGAAAATGCTTGTCAACCTTTTTCCCTATCTCATTACCTAACTATTTGGCATGGGAAACTCACATTTGAAACACAACATGGACATGCTTTGCCAGACAGGTCAAAGGTCATTACATAAGGCATGTTTCCCATAGTGCAGTTTGACAAACCACTAGATGACAGATGGAGCTGTACCACAGAGATCTGGTCAAAGTTCACAGCACTTAACTTGTCTCAAAATACCCTTCTGTAGGCTGATCCGGCTAATCTACCCTGTAGAACAGAATGGATCGACCCAGACCAATGAATGGGAGATCACACAGATGTTACATAGAGGTGACTGCATGGTAGCCACCTCATGAGTTAATTTGAAGATGTGAAGATATCATATACCAGAAAATAGTATGACTCTATAATGGCCCAGACAAAAGTAAATTGGTACTTTTTGTGCTCTGTGTGAAAACAAAATATTTGTCCCATTCACATTCCTCTCAGGCACAGTATGCTAACACCCAGCCTACTCAAAACCACAGTTTTTCGTATAACATTACTTGAAGTTACTGGTTGTTGACTTGAACACTCCCCCCTCTCCAGCCTTTCACTTCTCATCTATAAGTTCCCCTAGTTCCTTCTTCTTGAAGACATTGGATTGGTCTGGCCAATATAAGCCACCCTGCCAATTATGTACCTGTTTTTTATTTATACAAATGCCCCCAGACCTGGGATACAAACACCCCTACCCAAGGATACAAACACCCCCATCCAAGGATACAAATATCCCCACCCCAGGATACAAACACCCCCACCCCAGGATACAAACACCCCCA